TTTGATGACAAAATGGGGGAAAAGAGTGGGAAGTTATGCTTTTTCTTTATGAACCTACACATATTTGTTATGTTCTATCTCTTAAGCTTTGATAATGATTACATACTGCTTTGATATATGATCCTCATCTATGAGCTATAGAATGATACATGATTACTTTATTTGATTAATTTTCTATAACCCTAATACATATATGTTTACCATGAGTTGCTATGATTTGCTATAAGTTTTGATTCATATATGTCTTCGCTCTAGTGCTTTACACACACACACACACACACACACACACATATATATATATAGAGGATGGATCCTTTTACTCTAGGAGTAAGTATACCTAGACTTATTCCGTTCGATAACTCATGTTCTACATCAAATTTTAACGATCCAACAGTTCAATTTAAAGTTCTTAATACATAGATCAAATATGCAAATTCTTAGAAAATTTGAAAATTATTTGATACTTCGTTTCATTAATTCGAATCAATGTATAAAATAATTTTGTAATTATCCGTCAATTTAAATTAATAAAATGAAGTATCAAATGATTTTCAAATTTTCTAAACATTTGCAGATTTGATCTATGCATTAAGAACTTTAAGTTGAACGGTTGGATCGTTGAAATTTGATGTTCTACATGAGTTATTTAACGGAGTAAGTCTAAGTAGACTTACTCCTGGAGTAAAAGGATCCCTCCTCATATATATATATATATATATATATATATATGTGTGTGTGTGTGTGTGTGTTTTTGTAATATGTGTATGTTATGTTTTTAGATTGTCTACTACAATAACATGAAAATCCTTTTTAAGAAAACAAGAGTATAAAGTTATTCCTTATTAGAAGATGATTCTAAAAACAATCTAATGAAAAGATTTTTAAAAAGCAATCATGTTTTGAATAAAAAAATTATCATACTAATATCTTTTTGAGGAAATAAATAAACATAAATTTTAAGTGTTTGCCATAAAAAAAAGGAAAGATTGTTGAAACCAAATAAATGGAAATCTTTTATATATTAAGGTTTTCATGATAACAATAAGCTTGAAAGTTGTACACTCTTCAATTGAATGTCCATGATTGATTTTGATGATATGAACATGATTTTGACAGATCTGCTCTATGGGGCATATGAGCTTTTCTAGGAATAGTTAAAATTTTTGAAGTAAGTGCTTGCTCCAAGATTCTTACTCTGCTTGTGTTTAGTTGGTATAAATTGATTATCAAGGTACTTTTGCCTAATAACCTTTTGAATTATCCCCTCCTCTATTTTTCTAATATACCTCTTTTTCAACGTTTTTACTTGGGAATGCCTCGATTCCTGTTTGATTTCTTGATTTAGTTAACTCTTCCATCTGCATATATTTTTCAGCCTTCCTTCTTAAATCATTCATGCCTATAGCTTTTTTTTGCCTAAACTGTTTATGAAAGGTCTTAGCTTAAGTGCAATATTCAACCTATCCATAGCAACTACAAGGTTCAAATTTTTTTATTTCCATAGTGATTTTATTAAAATGATCCATGAAGGACCAAAGAGACTCTTTTTTTTCTCTTATTTAATATTAGTCATTGCTAATGATGTTAGTTTATATGGCCGATTAGTAGTGAACTACATGGTGAATAGGGATGACAATTCTTCAAATGAATTTATAGATCCCAAATGGAGCTTAATGAACCAACTCAATGCTTGACCCTTTAGGGATGTGGGAAAATATGACATAGAGTAGCGTCTTCTTGTGTTAGCAGAGTAGCTTGTGTTAGGTATGCATTCAAATGTTCATCAAGACTAGAGGATCCATCATATTTTTCTAAAGGAAGACTCCTCCAATTGTCAGATAATTATGCCTCCATGATTTTCTGAGTAAAAGGGTGCTTATAAGATTTAGTTATTATTCTGAACCGAGGGGGAGCTTGTTTAGAAATGACTGAGAACTGCACGGGTGGAGTCCGTGTTTGAGGAGTTGTTGCTACATGGTATGAAGAGGCTTCATTATTAGTCAAAGCATTAGGATTCCAAGTTCCATTCAAGCTCCTTAACTAAACATTCTCCCTCCTTAGTGCTTCAAGTTCCTAAGCCTCCCTTTCACGAACTTGTCAATGACTATCATTTCTTCGTGAAGCAATCTTACCATGTCTGAGAGATCAATTTGATCTTCCATAATCACTAGGCTAGAAACTTGTTCAGGTTAAACATAGTTGGTATTTTTTCTAGTAGTTAACATCCTTCCCAAGATTTTCTCCCTACAAAACAAACAAATAATACATGCCTTCAAAACAGGGCCCTACAATAGGTGCCAAAATGTACCTACACAAGGGCACATCCATAATCTTCACGCTTCAAGTCTTTGTCCTGATTGTCTTCGTCCTTTCTAGATGGCTATCTCTTGAATTTACCTATGCGAAGAGAAATAAAGGACACCTACAAAAAGTACTTCAACGCTCAAGTTAGTCTTTGGTTTCAAACAATTTCAAACAATTAATGCTGTAATAAATGTTGATAATGTACCTTCTCTCTCCTACTCGTCAATATTTATAATAACCTTATTGGGCCTAGGCTCACATATTTGGCCCACAAAGGGATCCTTATACCTCTATTATAGTCTTATTATTTCATGGGTATATATAGTCCTCATTCAACACCAAAGACTCCTCAGTGTTATTCATTAATCTCATCTTCGGTATAACATATATATTATGTGTATGCTATGCGTTTAGATGGTCTATTGTGGTAACATGAAAAATCCTTTATGAGAAAACAAGAGTGCAAAGCTCTTCCTTATTAGAATATGGTTCTAAAAATAATATTTTTTTAGAAAAAAATCATGTTTTGAATAAACAACTACCATATTTATATCTTTTCTGAGAAAATAAACAAACATAAGTTTTTAATGTTTCTCATCATAAAAAGAGGGAAATTGTTGAAACTAAATACATGAAAATCTTTTATATATTAAGGTTTTTATGATAACAATATGTATTAAAAAATTATATTAAGAGTGTGTTTGGATGAAAAAGTTGAATAGAATAATATAATATTTTGAAAATTTTTAAATGTCTTGGGATGAAATGCTTTGTTTAGATGAAAAATTTACAAAGAATTTAAAATTCAAACATTTGTGAAATTCTTTAAAATAGTAGAATTTTAAATTCTTTAAAAAAATAATAATTTGAAAATTTTCATAATTTTTCTTTCTTATCTTACCTATATATCTTTTATCTATCTCCTATCACTTAATTATTGAATATTCAAAAATATTTTTAAATTATTAAATATTTAAAAATTGACTAATATTTATATTTATAAAATTTAATCTTAAAACTTCAAAATATATATATATATATAATGAATTTTATCCATAGTGAAAATTATATAAAAAAAATTAAAAATTTAAAAATTTAAATTGACATATCTAAACAAAATATTTAAAAAATAATAAAAATAAAAATTAAAATAATTTAAATTCTAAAAAATTTAAATTCTTTAAAATTTTAAAATCCTTTATCTAAACACATCATAAAAGTTTTGATAAAATGAAATTTTTGATGGCGAAAGTGTTTAAATCAAAAGAAAACCAAGGCCTCTAATCAACGTTTACATAAAAGTCAAAGACCGTCTAGTAGTCTTTAAGGAGCGGAAGTTCTTGCAAGTTAAAGTAAGTGAGAGCCTTATTCAAGGGCTTCACAAATTTAATGATTAGAATTCGCCGGTCAAATTTATCCACACTTATAGGCAAGATAATTCTCTTGCTGATGATTCTGTAATAAATGCAGCACATAGTAACATGCAAGTTGATTTCTTGATGTTCCATCATCCTCCACATTTCCCAATTCAGTTGCTTCTTTATGTTGTCATGAAATTTTTTTTCTTTTTGGTAGATTTTCTCTTTTTGCTTCGAGAAGTCTTTTAGTCCAAAGAAAATTAGATTAATATTATATCTGCATTTCTTTCATATCAAAATTATTTTACTCTGGGAAGTCTTTTTGTCTCGAAAAATAAATAATTAAAACTCAAAAGCGAAGGTGTTCTAGAAGAAGAGTGGAGTGAGACCCGGCAAGAATATGGCCAAGTGCATGTGATTTCCAGCTCACCCCGATTCCCAATTATTTTTTAGTGTCAAAATCATAACTAATAAAATAAAAATAAAATTTTAAAAAAACAAATCTAAAGTAGCTTTTTTAAAATGTGAATGGTATTATTCTCTTTTCAATAATATACGTAAATATATATCAAAGAAGTTAGTATTGTTCGTTAATCAAAATTAAAATTTTTATCTAGATAATATATATAAATATATGAAATTTACATTAAATATACTTGTAGATAAAATTATTAGAGAACAATATCAACTATATTTAAAAAAAATTAGCTTAAATATGTTTTTAGTCCTACAAATTTAAAATAAATTTGTTTTTGATCTCTCAAATTTAAAATTATTATTTTTAGTCTCTGTAATTTCAAAAAAAATTATTTTAATTTTTATATTTAAATTTTGTTAAAAAATTTATGAAATATTATTACATAAAATTTACCTATTGGTGTTCTTATTAGTAAAAATATCATATTAAATCTAGTTGATATTACATAACTATCTTAATTAATCATTTTCAAATATATTATTAGTGACCTGGAAGACTAAAATAAATTTTTGAAAATTATAGAAGTTAAAAATAATAATTTTAAATTTAAAAAATTAAAAATAAAAAAGACTAAAAACATATTTAAACTTAATAAATTATATTTAAGTTTCGTGCATATATATTAATGAAATTTATATTTAAATATAAATACATAATCATCGATGTGATATTAGATAAGAAAAAAAAAAAATTGTCTTTTAAAAAATTGGAAGGCCAAGTAGAAGAGTGGGTGGAGGGAGAGAAAGAAGAAGAACCGTTGGATTGAACGCCGAGGAGCGAGCGTGATGCAACGGTCAAAGCAGGACTGCGCCGCCCTTGAAAAACAATGTGATGATGAATCATTACGCGTTCCCAACCCCAATGCCGTTTTGTTTCACAACGTTCTTTCGAACTCACTTCCCTCGCTCGCACCCTTCTTTCCAATGCCTCCCTATATATAGGTCCATTCATTTTCAGATTTTATTTGCTCCCCCTTTCCTTTCGCCCCTCACTCTCTTTCTCACCCAACATTTTCATTTCCCACCGCTCATTCCAATCTATTTATTTCTCTCTCTCCAATCTCCCCTCTCTCTTCATTTCACGGCCCACATTCCCCATTTCTCTGGTGTCTTTGGCCTTTCAAGGTACATTCTTTCTCGCCAGATTCATCTCTTTTTTTATTTTCTACTAGCTAAATATCGTTGTTTACTCGAGCTTTGGAGATATCGATTTCTTGATGCCAATGAGTGCCTCTGTTTTTTTTTTATTTTTTATTACAATGGTGTTTAATATGTACACATCCATTTCGTGTGAAATTCGGATCTGGGTTTACGCCTTTTGAACTTCGTGATTTAATGGAGGGATAGATAGAAGCAATTTGATTACACTAGGATGTTTGAAAAAAAAAAAAAAAAACCTAGGCTTTGGCTTTGTCCTTTACTATTTGGTTGACTTTGGTGAAGGCAACGGAATTGTTGCTAGGGACTTTACTGTGTCATATCATTAAGTTATACAATCGTTTCACCATCTGTATGTATAAATGTTCATGTCAGTCTCATGTTTTCATAAATTAGAGTAAACTACCCTTTTTTAAGCAAAAATTGATACCTGAAAAGGATTGCTTTTGGGACTTTATTGTATCTTTACGTTATAATTTGTTATGTATAAAAGGAGAAAACTTAGCTATGGTACTATAGGTTGTGTTGATGTTGGTCTTCCATCCGAAATGGAGTTATATATATATATATATTAATGAGACATGTATTAAATAAAAATACATATTATATGACACACCTAAGAAACTGTAACTAAGTTTTATTCTTTAATAAATTAGAGAAAGCAACCTTTTTTTCAAGCAAAAAATGATAGCTGAAAAGGATTACTTTTGGGACTTTAATCCAATCCTTACATTATAATTTGAAATATATGAAAGGACAAAACTTAGGTACACTATTATAAGTTGTGTTGATATTATTCTTCAATCAGAACTGAAGTTTTATCCTGAAATATGTATTTCGGGTAATAAGTTTTGTCCTCTATGAAATTGCTTACCCTGTATTTATATGCATAAATGCTCATGTCAGTCTCATATTTTCATAAATTAGAGAAAGTAACCTTTTTCTTAAGCAAAATTTGAGAGCTGAAAAGGATTATTTCAGGGACTTTATCATATCGATTCATTGTAATTTCTAATCTATGAAACTGCTTCACCTGTATATATATGCATTAAGGCTCATGTCAGTCTCATATTTTCATAAATTAGAGAAAGAAACCATTTTTTCAAGCAAGAATTGATATCTGAAAAGGATTGTTTTGGGGACTTTATTGTATCGTATCATTGTAATGTGTAAGCTATGAAACTGCTTCTCCTGTATCTATGCGTAAATGCTCAATTTGATCATATCAAGTTATCTTATATAGCCAAATGTATTTATTTGAACAGGAAAAAAATGGCAGAGACAAAACCAGACACACCGTTGATGCCACCATCATCACGGAACCTTCCAGACTTCAAGAAGTCCGTGAAATTGAAGTATGTGAAGCTTGGTTATCATTACCTTATCACACATGGCATGTACCTCTTTCTTTCCCCTCTGGTGGTGCTGGTTGCAGTGCAGCTCTCATCCTTCTCCCCCGAAGATCTTCATGACATTTGGGACCACCTACAATACAATTTGATATCCGTTATTCTTTGCTCCACTCTCATTGTATTCTTGTCGACCCTATATATTATGACTCGTCCTCGACCAGTGTACCTTGTCAATTTCTCATGCTACAAGCCCGAAGAAGCTCGCAAATGCTCAAAGAAGATATTCATGGACCAGTCTCGGAAGAGTGGTTTTTTCACAGAGGAAACTCTTGAATTCCAGAGGAAGATTCTAGAGAGGGCAGGCCTTGGGGAGGACACTTACTTTCCAGAAGCTGTTCTCAACAATCCTCCCAACCCTTCAATGGCAGAGGCAAGAAAAGAGGCCGAGCTTGTTATGTTTGGTGCAATTGATGAGCTGTTTGCTAAGACTACTGTGAAGCCTAAGGACATTGGAATTCTGATTGTGAATTGCAGTCTCTTTTGCCCCACGCCATCGCTTTCAGCAATGATTATCAATCATTATAAGCTCAGGGGGAACATAAAGAGCCTCAACCTTGGTGGGATGGGATGCAGTGCAGGTCTGATTTCAATTGATCTTGCTAAGGACCTTCTCCAAGTCCACCCCAATTCCTATGCACTGATTGTTAGCATGGAAAACATCACTTTGAATTGGTACCCTGGGAATGACCGATCCAAGCTTGTTTCCAATTGTTTGTTCCGTATGGGAGGGGCTGCAGTTCTGCTTTCTAACAAAAGCTGTGATAGTAGAATATCCAAATACAGGCTGGTTCACACCGTTCGCACTAATAAGGCTTCTGATGACAAGTGCTTTGGCTGCGTCATCCAAGAGGAAGATTCCAATGGCAAGATTGGTGTTACTTTGTCAAAAGATTTGATGGCAGTTGCAGGTGATGCTTTGAAAACCAACATCACCACATTGGGGCCTCTTGTCCTTCCAATGTCTGAACAGCTCTTGTTCTTCGCCACATTGGTTGGGAAGAAGCTTTTCAAGATGAAGATCAAGCCTTATATTCCAGATTTCAAGCTGGCTTTTGAGCACTTTTGCATCCATGCCGGTGGCAGAGCTGTGTTAGATGAGCTGGAGAAGAACTTGCAGTTGTCCACTTGGCATATGGAGCCATCAAGGATGACGCTTTACCGTTTTGGAAACACCTCCAGCAGTTCTCTTTGGTATGAATTGGCTTATACAGAAGCCAAAGGGAGGATCAGGAGGGGTGACAGAACATGGCAGATAGCATTTGGGTCTGGATTCAAGTGCAACAGTGCAGTGTGGAAGGCGCTCAGGACCATCAATCCTGCCAAGGAGAAGAACCCTTGGATGGACGAGATTGACAAGTTCCCTGTTGAAGTTCCAAGGATTTCGCCCCTCTAAACATGCAGTTTGAAGTATTTTTGTCAGTGTTAGGTGGTAGCTGGTGAAGTGGTGCAAGGGGGATGAGGCGTAGGTCTGGCTTGTGGGATACATTTTGTTTGTTATTAAATCTAATTTAGTCAAGGATTGGTGCAAGAGCTTTGGACTGCTTGGTTTCTTAGCAATCTATTGTTCTGTGGTAGTGAAATGTAATTACAATCCTATTCGGGGATTTGTCAGATACATTTACAATTCTTTCCCATGTTGAAATGGAAAAAAATTCATATATTCTTTTAGTTATCGACTTGTTTTTGCGTCTTTACTATGTTCATGTGCTACTAGGTGCGTGTTTGAATTTTTGTTCTACCTAGAGACATGCATTTCAGTTTAAATGTGTGATAATGGGTATTCAAACACATCCTGGGTGCTTTTTCTCTTAATGACAGTCGTGGGCTACCAGTTGAGGAAACCCTGTTAGTGTTACGTTGCAGAGGTTCAAAACAGACAGGAAAGGCCTTTGAATTTAAACAGCACCAATGTGCCAACCAGGGGAAGGTAGCCTAGTATTCTAAGTGTGTTTGGAAAACCCTTCAACATTTGTTGAATGGACCTTTTGTTAAAAAAAAGCTAAAGCAATTGGGGGAGTTGTGGGGAGTTACTTTTCTCGTTACATTAAACATAATTACAAAACAAACACACCCTAATCAGTTGCCTTAGGACACCCTTTTATTCTGAGGTTCATTTTTTATTTTTTGCCGCATTATTTAAGAATTGGAAGGTATGGTTATCACTGCAAACATAAAAGTCTTTTTCCATTAATGTAATCCTCTGGCTCAGGCTCTAAGTCCTTACAGAGCCGTCATTTAGACAGAAGACCTTTTTAATAACTTCACTAATAATAAACAGTTTGGTCCTAAAGCATTATCTTTTCTATTATATAGTACCTAATAAAATTATCCAAATAATCTTTATGTTGTGTTTGGATAAATCATTTCTAAAATTCAAGGACTTGCATTAAATGTTTGCTCGCCTAATCTGCGTTACGCAAAGTCTTTTGTACTATTTGTTTACTTTTATGTCTGACTTCAATCATAACCTAGGCATATCTATACTTTCCTGGCATTGTAGCTGCAGAAGCGTTGTCTTTTACTGAATGGTAGGTGTACTTGCTCTTACATATGCAACTTTGACTTGTGGATAAGCGTTGGTCCATTTTTCTCTTATCTCTTCTTCTATTTTTGATGGCTTCATGTGTTTTTCTAAGAGTGTGGATGATAAGCAGTACTTCTCGTTGTGACTTGGTAGACTTCAGACGTAATTCAACATTCTTCGTTTTCATCTGGAAATTTGAGTCTCCATTTAAGAGATAGACTTTGACTTTTTATTTCGTCTGGTTAGCTGAGCATACTTTTAACTTTGTGTTGGATCGAGCGCTTACCACTAGGCCAAAAGCTATAGCTGATAGTCAGGGCGCAACTCTTTTTACTTAAGAGCGCAGCAGCCCAAGCGCCATGATTCAACAGTGACTTGGCCCACCTAGCCTCCGCCACGGGACAATTGAAGCAACCCGCAACAATCTCCCCCTCAGCAATTGCCCCGCTGGGTATCGAACTCATGACCTTGGCTCTGATACCAATTGTTGGATCGAGCGCTTACCACTAGGCCAAAAGCTATAGCTGATAGTCAGGGCGCAACTCTTTTTACTTAAGAGCGCAGCAGCCCAAGCGCCATGATTCGACAGTGACTTGGCCCACCTAGCCTCCGCCA